GACATTTTAGAGTGGTAAAGGACGCATGAGACAGAATATCCAACTTTATCGAAGATGGCCTGTGATTTTCTTTCAATACCTGCAACTTCAGTACCTGCTGAGAGATTATTTTCTAAAGCATCATTAGTAATTAGAAAACATAGAAACACGTTAAGTGATGAGTCAGCCAGATGGTTACTTTGCATTAATTCTTGGTCAAAATAATTAATATAAAGTAACAGTAATGTCAAAGCTGTTGTGTACTGTTATGTAATTTAATTTGTATTGTATTTTATTTTTTTATTTAAATAAATGGTAAATAGTATAACTCTTTTATTCCATTTCACATAAGGGTCTTTCAATCTCTTTCTAGACAGATAATGTTCTTTATAATACAGTCACGTTAATGTCATTAATTTGTTTTTTATATGTTTTGACTAAGTTTTAGCACATGTAAGCTTATTAAATGTAAACGTTTATTAAGAAACACTAACTCCCGTGGCCGTGAGACTTGGTAGACAGCTCAGTTGGTTAGAGCATCGGCACGGATCGCTAATGTCGTGGGTTCAAACCCCACCCGGTATTAGTTGATTTTTCGAATTTCTCATTAAATGCTTAGACATTTATTAATTTGGTTGGTCTTTCTATGGCTATGTTAATTCAAACTCAAAACGTGCCTACTCTGTTAAGTTGTTCTAAGATCTAAAGTAACGTTTAATAAATAACATTAGGCTAATATGTAATTGCGAGACTTGCGAGACTCTTGCTGCAAGACCAAGACCAAGTACAAGACTGAGAGCGCAATACCAAGACCAAGAACAAGACCAGGTGTAAGACCAAGACCAAGACTGGCTAAGTCTCGTCTTGTTCTTGCATTTGGGCAACACTAGATGAAATGCTACGAGCCATAGGCATGTTAGAAAATGATGCTATTCAACGCGTCATTGCTAAAGCCCTACACACCAGCCAAAATGTGATATCAAGGTTGTGGTCACGTTACCGCAGTACGAGAGATTTGGGTCAACGGTACACGGGTAGATATTGTGTTACTTTCTACGCAGAGACAGGATTGATTTCATCAAACGACCGCCAGAAGACAACCCAATATTACAGCGATGCAACTACTACAAAGGCTCCAGGAGGACCATCAATCGCTGGTAAGCGACCAAACCGGGTGAAGGAGGTTGTGGTTGGGCGGCGGGCCTAAGGCGGGCCGGTCGAGCCTTGGCCCGATTACGCGAGATGTTTACACTATATGGACTGTATACGCGGATGATGCCTAAACAAGATGGCGGATTTGGCACTTTTACTTGACAATGAACTCGCTCTTCCGAAAAAAACCTATTGCTTGCCAAGGTTATGAAGGAATCCTGCTTGAGCACATTAAGAGAAATGAAATTGGGGCGGATTAATTAACAAAACACAAATACTCAAGCAGGCGTCATAGGAAAAGAAGCGCACTTACCGGGGTGTGACTTCGATGCGGCTTGGACGCTTCCGTTGGTGCGGTGCTACTTCTGGCGGATCTCCTGGGGCCCCAGGGATGCAGTCCGGGTCGGTGTTGCGATGGAAGAGAGCGGTGCGCGACGATATCTCACTAGGTGAGGTGGTTACTCCTGGAGCTCGACTGCTCCAGGTGGTGCGGTTCGAAACTAGCGGTGCGCGTGGGCAAGAGCCCTCTAGGACGCGACTGTCCCAGGCGGTGTGGTTACAACTAGCGGCGCAAAGGCAAGAGAGCACTCGAGAGTAGCGCGCGAGCTTATATCGGCCTCTTTCCCACCGAAGTCCGGCGCCCTTCTCATTGGTTGCGAGAATCACGCAACATTCTAGAATTATCTTCTTTCCCCTCTCGTGTGACCCCACCACCCCGGTGTGTTGGAGGAACGATAGTAGAAGGAAAGGGCAACGATTGGCAAGCCTACCCTCGAATAAAATTAAAATACGAATGGTTTTCCGCGCAACCAGGTTGCATGGAGTTGGTCTTCATGCTCGAAGACCGCTACGTGTTCCAGCATTACGACGTGGCAATTGATGTCGGCGGATTTAGTAAGCTCAGGAGCATTTAACATGGATGATGACGAACAATGTCACATCAACAGTTAAAACCTGAAAAATAGATTGAAGAACCAGTGCGTGCTGCCTGTGATGACTTATGGATCTGAGACGTGGTCCTTCACTGCTGGCCGTATTCAAAGTCGCCCAGCGAGCTATGGAGAGGGTTATGCTCGGGGTTTCTCTGCGTGATAAACTTAGAAATGAATTCCACGGTAGAACCAGCGTGACCGACATAGCCTAACGGATTAGTAAGCTGAAGTGATAATAGACCGGCCATATAGCTCGAAGAACCGACAAACGATGGGGGAAAAAAAGTTCTCGAGTGGAAGCCTCTTACCGGTAGGCGTAGTGTAGGGCGATTCCCTACTAGATGGAGTGACGACCAGTTAAGACATGCAGGAATTGATGATGATGATGACGAACAATGGTCGTTGGTGCTGTTCACCGATGATTCCCAGTTTGGGTTTCATTCGGGACACGCGTTTGCAGAACTTCAGGGAGAGTTAGCTGTCTAGGGCACGCTCAGGAGCTCCATTCATACCAAGGCGGGACAATCATGGTATGGGCAGGAATTCGTCTTGGTGGACAAACCCACCGACGAGGAGGTAGTAGGGCCTGTTATTGTCCCACACAAAATCTAAATGGGCCAGGAATTTCTCCCCGTGTACAATAATGGTCCTTCCCATACGGCACGGCTGTTGTCGGCCGCTCTCCGCCACCACATGTTCAAGTTTTGGATTTCCCTGCATATTCGCCCGACATAGATCCTATCGAGCGTGCCTGGGACATGTTACAACAAAAAGTTTTGAGAGATTTCCCGCCAAATTTGACGACGGAACAACAACTTCACTAACACTTGCAAAGAACATGGGACCTCATACCGCAGCAAGATATTGACAATTTAATTTTAAGTATGAACAATCGATGTCGATATGTAATTAATGTCAGAGGTGACAATACTGATTATTAATAATTGGATTTATAAGATTTTTTTTTAATTTTAATTAAAATTTTATAAGAACTGAAGTTTTTTGTCATACTAATTTTCTACTTTATTTACTTTTAATAACAGTTGCAAAGAACATGGGACCTCACACCGCAGCAAGACATTGACAATTAAATTTTAAGTAGGAACAATCGATGTCAATGTGTAATTAATATCAGAGATGGCAACACTGATTATTAATAATTAGATTTATAAGATTTTTTTAATTAAAATTTTATAAGAAATGAAGTTTTTTTATCATACTTCTTTTCTACGGCCATTAAAAAATAACATTTTTATTTAAAACAAAAAACTTACGAAATTTTTTTTTATTTTTTACTAAAAACATTAAAATAACCCATTACTTCCATTTTACGGATACCCCCAAAGCGTCGAAATTACTTGGCTTTGTTTTTACTCGCCGTAAAATGATACACCCTTTATAGCATTACACACACCAATCTCAATAACGACACCAATTAAATAATAAAATGTACTTTTTAGATTGCAAATATTAGTAAAAACTGCACAGCTGTGTACGTTTGTTCATTCGTCGTTGTCAGCGTTTTATTATCCTAACCCATAATAAACTCGACTGTCGGCGACATACCAAACTCGAAGAATTCCGTTGTTCTGTTTACAAATTTGGATTGCTTGCACGTGTAGACTGTTGTTAGCTACCGTCCATAAGCAATAATGCCGTTATCTCGCATCTGGTCGATTTTCGTTTTTTGATGTCACCATAATCAGAAAAAAAAATCTTTCTATCTAAGGAGTATTTTTCTACTATTTATGGATCCCGAGATAGAAAAAAGAAAAACACCGTTAAGTTGCCTTCTTTGATATTTTTACTACGCTAAAACGCAGGTAAGCAAAATTATTAAACTAAAAAGTGACTAAGAGCTGATAATTTACCTTATTCTTCATCAGTTTCATAACTAAACTGCCGTTAATAGAATTGCCTACACTATTATGAGATTAAAGTACTTTAACGGTTTTATAGTTCTACTTTGTTTCAAATTACAGTTTTCTAAATCAAACGCTAAAAAGCCGTTAAATGAAAATACTAGACAAAAATGTCGCTAATATCACTTAGCGGCGTTTATGCGTAGTACGTAGATGTGTTTTTATTAAGAGATTTTGTAGTAAATACGCTAATAACGGCATTATCAATATGAAATATAAATATTTTGCTTATCACGTCGATCACATAAATGCAGGTATCCCTCATACTACATTAAAACGCGGTTATGTACAGTGAATCGCTCGTTCTCGATCCGCGGTCTCCCGAGCTCTCTCTCTCGATTGATGAAGCAGTTCAATAAAGTTTAACGGGAAAGACGTGTCACGCACCGCATTCCCGCCAATTATTACGATGGCTGACAACTACTCAAGGTAAAACATTATTTAATTACGATTATTATTTTTGCCGGTTTAGTAAACAATACAGATAGGATAAACATTAATTGTATGTCGATCCAAAAAGTTTTGGCTTTCGGTCTCGTCACGCAAAACAACTTTTTTTTCTGCATCATTTTAAATCTGTGATGTATTAAAAGTATTGATTTAAATTATATAAAATAAATTACACTATTAATCTACATATGTGCTTTCGGTAACTAGCACATTTTACTGGATAAGTGTTAATACTATATTATTCAAAATAGCTTCGCAAATAACTAAATATTTTCTATTAAAATAAAAAGATAAAATGGTTACATTTCGTCGACCTTATTAACCAATTATTTTGATTTATAAATACTATTTATTGAAGATACTGTAGAGACCAGTGTAGAGGATAATGTAAACCTACATTTTAATTGTTACAGGTGTGTAATTCACAAAGATCCAAAAACATTTTAGACATGATTAAGAAGAAAGATAGTACATACACTACCTTGAGAACTTTAGCAGAAGGAATAAAAGTCCTTATCGCAAGCTACTGCATTTTGATACATTATACTATAACAGGCCTTATTCGATGACGTCCAATGTTTTTGAAAAGTTTTGTGATACGCAAATTACTTATAATTCACATGTGCTTTCATCGATCCTGAATAATTTGAATAAAGATTTTAAAACTTGTCCTGCTCAGAGCCATGACGCTTTACCAAATTCTGATCGGGTGCAAATCGATTTAACCTGCAACGAAGTAATACCGTTAGAAGAACTCTCATTTAGTGTAACTGAACAAAATGATATTAGTTCATCAACGTACGCGTTGCAATGTGGTTTTGATTCCGACGACTCTGTGCGTGATAAAGACTATCTCCCATCTGATTCAAGTAGTGGTTTAAGTGACGACTTTGAATCAGTTAAACCAAGAAGCCAAAAGTCCCAAGTGTTACAAACAAACAAAAGTTCTAAAAAAAAGGGTTCACGATCCATATTTACACCGGCTGTGGTCAAGTGTGTGGTCACGAAGAGCTTAACTTCAGACATTCTTGACACTGTTACTTTTATTCATGAAAGAAAAAAAATTGCAGAATAAACGCAGAAGTTCAATAAACTTTACTTGTACTGATAAATATATTGCGGCGTCGCTACTTCCTCGCAATCATAGGAACACCATTGATGTTGGTGCGTATCAAACATTGTATCAAGTCAATGAATCTGTTGCAGTCACTTTGGAACCTGAAATATCACAACCAAAATAAAAACGTAAAAATTATGACACTCCCTTATTTCAGCAAAAAAATTGATGCCAAAAATAAAAAAAAAGTTTGAATATAATTTTAAAATGGGGTGTAACGAAACCTACAAAAAAAAATGTATTTCTGTATTTAGTCAATACCGGCGAAAAGCAATCAATAAAATGTATTGGGATTTGTCCTGGCGAGAAAAGCATTTATTCTTGAATGCACACACTTCAGTATCAGTTATAAAGAGAAAAACGACCAGTGACCCGAAAAGGAAACCAAGAAGGGTATTTACATTTAAACAACTAGACGACATCAGAGTTGAGGTATGCAAACCCTTTTTTTGACTACCTTAGGTTATGTTAAAACAAACGACAGGATTTTGCATAGCTATCATATAGATCCCCAATTTAGTGATAAAAGAGGAAAGCACCAGAAAACACTTGCTTATGATCGTAATTTGTTGACTCAGCACGTTGAATCGTTTCTTCCATCAGAACCCCACTACAGGCGTGAACATGCTCACTGCGACGTATTTTCAAGTGATATTAGTATAACTAACATGCATAGACATTTCTGTAAGAAATATCCAGATAAGATCGTTTCGTATTTACTATATAGGCAACACGTTTATTTTTTATTTATACGTGGTAGAGCCATGCTGCAGTTATATTAGGAGTATAGTTGTAGCACGAATGGGTCGGCTCGACCGGGGAAGGACCACGCTCTCACAGAATACCAGCGTGAAATAGTAGCTTAATGCTGCTGTATTTCGTGTGGTGAGTGTAGAGAACCGGAGACCCTTTTTACTGGAAACGAGGTATTCCATCTTAGTCCTCACGGGTGAGAACGCATCTGCATTTTGATTTGTAATCAAGGATAGATGTAGATGTCTATGGGCTACAGGAACCACTTACCATCAGGTGGACTGTGTGCTCGTTTGTCACCCTGTCCTATTAAAAAAAAAACGTAAAAAAAATTAATATTTCTTTTACTCGTTTGGGTAATGAAGAGTGCGAAATGTGTGAAGCCTATACTTTGCATAAAAAAGAAACATCACATGATGCCGGTAACCAGATTGACTTAGACTGTACTGTATGTGTGGAGTGGGCATATAGCATCATCAAAAATATAAAAAAGCAGGAGCTTTGCAATGAACACAAAAAATTACCCCAAAATGATTTCCAAATATATTACAGCGCAGACCTAGAAAGAGAAATTATGTTGCCCAGATTCAAAGCTGCAATTTTTTGCAGAAGCCTTACGGCATTCAATCAGACATTTGTATTACTAGGCAAAATCGGTTCCTCTTCAAAGCCGTTATCAGTCATATGGCATTATGGTATTGCAGGGAGAAAACAAGAGGACACCATGACGGCCTTCTACCATTTTCTTTTATGTAACCGACACGATACTAATGTGAATATATAGCTCGATAACTGCAGTGCTCAAAATAAAAATTGGTCATCATACTCGTTACTTGTCCATTTAATCAACTATGAAATAATTTCAAAATTTGCTTTAAAAGGTATTTTTGAAATATTTTTAGTTGTTTCATAAGATAACATTATATACATAAGGTGAAGATTGTTTTTATGTTTTTTTTAGTTATTTGTTAATATTTCATTTTCAATTATTGTAAGTAAGTCCTCGCAAAGTAATTTTGTTAAAATTAAAGATGACTGTGTCATTAAATGATTGATTTATATTTTATAATAAGCTCTTTTATTTCTGTAGGTTACTACTACTTTATTTGATTTCCTCAACTATCGTGTGGTAGTTTCAAAACTAAAACGCCATTACGTTTTAATGTTTTGTATTTAGCGGCATTTAAGCCATGTAATCATCATTTTTATAGTGGTAGAGCCACGCGGCAGCTTTGCTGTTGCACGTATGGGCCGGCTCAAACCGGGGTGGTACTACGACCTCACAGAATACCGGCGTGAAGTGGAAGTTCTGCTTCGGCGTTTCGTCTGGTGAGTGCAAGTGGCCGGAGAAGCCCCGCGTATTCTGGGGGGGGAAACTACACTACAACTGCTCGGGACAAACGGAGCAACAGGCCCAAGGCGACCCCTGCCACGCTGTCCGTGAATTTCTACAGTAACAGGGGACTTCACTCTAACCTAAACACCGTCCACTACCATCTCGAGACGGCGAGGCCGGCTCTGCTCTTCCTGACCTAGACGGGTGTCCTCTCCGGCTGATATTTCGTATCTCTCCTACCCGGGGTACAAACTGGAACACTCCTTTGTGTCTCGGGCTGGAGTTTGCGTTTACGTCAATGAGGACATCTATTCTCGACGCCTCGGCAGACATGAAGGTTCGGACCTGTCCATTCTTAGGCTACGCGTAGACAGCGACGACCATCCGCGCGTCTACTGGTGCCTCTATAGGTCCCATAGCGGTAATGCCGAAACAGACCGACTCTTCGACCACGTCCAAATGGCTACAGATTCGTTGCTACAGCAGATCCCCTCCACAGAGATCGTGATCCTCGGCGACTTTAACGCCCATCACGCCGAATGGCTTGGTTCACGTTTAACCGATCATGCGGGGAGATCTGTACATGATTTTGCCTTGGCATATGGTCTGACACAACTGGTTACTTCGCCTACGCGGATTCCAGATGTGGAGGATCATGCACCTTCCCTGTTGGACCTTCTCCTGACCTCTCACCCGGACGGATATCAGATTTCCGTCGAAGCCCCTTTAGGCTCCTCGGACCATTGTCTTGTCCGGAGTGTGGTGCCACTCACGCTGAAATCGCAGTTGCATTTTGCAGGCTGCCGCCGTGTTGGCACTATAGGTCAGCCGATTGGGATGGGATGCGGTCTTTCTTTGCATCCTACCCTTGGGAGCGGGTTTGCTTCTCGCCGGACGATCCCAACGTTGTTGCGGATTCTGTCGCTGATGTGGTACTTCAGGGTATGGAACTTTTTATTCCTTCCTCTGTGGTGCGCATCGGAGGCAAATCTAAGCCATGGTTTGGTCGCTCCTGTAAAATAGCATCATGCTATAAGCAGGAGTGCTACCGAGCCTGGGCTGACGCATCCGCTTCCCGGGATGTAAACACCAGCGCAATAAAAAAGAAGTATAATTCCGCCTCTAGGTCCTTCAAAAGAGTCATTGCCAAGGCAAAATCAGAGCACATAGGCAGAATTGGCGAGAAACTAGTTCGCCTTCCTTCTGGAACCCGTGCATTCTGGTCTCTCGCCAAGGCTGTCCAGGGGAATTTCTGTCAGCCATCTCTTCCATCTCTGCACAGAGAGGACGACTCACTGGCCCATACCGCAAAGGAGAAAGCCGATCTTCTAGGCTCTTTCTTTGCGTCCAACTCGACTCTCGATGACGGAGGGAGTACGCCGCCGACCATCCCGCGTTGTGAGTACTCCATGCCGGAAGTGCAGTTCACACAGTGCTCGGTTCGCAAAGCACTCCTCTCCCTGGACATCCACAAGTCGAGTGGGCCTGACGGAATCCCCCCAATTGTGCTGAGGACGTGTGCTCCAATGTTGGCACCGGTTTTAACGCGTCTTTTCCGGTACTTCTACTCCCTAGGCGTAGTCCCAAAATCATGGAAGACGGCTTTCGTCCACCCGATGTCTAAAAAGAGGCAACCGCTCAGACCCGTCCAACTACCGGCCTATCGCCATCACCTCCTTGTTCTCCAAAACAATGGAGTCCATTGTAAACTGTCAGCTCACGAGGTACCTTGAAGATCACCAGCTGATTAGTGACCGCCAATACGGTTTTCGTCGTGGTCAGTCAGCTGGTGATCTTCTGGTCCTCAACCTCAACCTAAGTCATAGATGGGCGGAGGCAGTAGAGTCCAAGGGGGAGGCATTGGCCGTTAGTTTGGACATTGCGAAGGCCTTCGATCGGGTTTGGCACAAAGCGCTTCTTTCTAAGCTCCCTTCCTATGGGCTTCCCGAGAAACTGTGCGAATTTAATCACCAGCTTTCTTGCAGATCGGAGCATCAAGGTCGTTGTTGACGGTGCAAGCTCCGATTGCAAGCCTATTAATGGTGGTGTTCCACAAGGCGGCATGCTATCGCCAACGCTGTTTCTTCTGCATATCAATGATATGTTCCAAACCCGTAACATTCATTGCTATGCAGATGACAGCACTGGTGATACTCTTTACACCGGCCGAGCCAATATTTCTCGGGAAAACGTCTCCGAGTGCGGGGCCCAACCTGTGTCTGAAGTCGAGTCTTTGCTGAACAGAGTCTCGGATTGGGGGCGACTAAATCTGGTCCAGTTTAACCCCCAGAAGACACAAGTTTGCGCGTTAACCGCTAAAAAGAACCCCTTTGTCGTATCTCCTCAGTTTCAAGGCACTCCCCTTGTTGCCTCAGCCAGTATCGGAATCCTCGGCGTTGACATATCGAGTGACGTGCAGTTTCGTGGTCACTTGGAAGAGAAGGCCGAATTGGCCTCTAAAAAGCTTGGCGTGCTCAGCAGAGCGGGACAGTATTTCATGCCGGCACACCGCCTGCGACTTTACAAGGCTCAGGTTCGGCCGCACATGGAATACTGTTCCCATCTCTGGGCTGGGGCTCCCCAGTACCAGCTCCTTCCACTTGACCGCATCCAGCGCAGAGCGGCTCGAATCGTCGACGACCGAGTGCTTTCCGATCAGCTCGATTCACTGGCACTGCGACGAGATGTTGCATCTCTTTGCATTTTATTTCGCATATACCATGGAGAGTGCTCTGAGGAATTGTTCGGATTAATCCCAGCCGCCAAATTTCGTGAACGCACTACGCGGCAAACGTCCCGATACCATCCACACCATCTGGATGCTCGGCGGTCCACCACAGTACGTTTCAAAAGGAGTTTTCTTCCGCGT